TCCATCCATCCATCCATCCATCCATCCATCCATCCATCCATCCATCCGTCAGTCTGAGCTGGATCAGGTGACCCCAGGATCTCCCTGTAGTGATGCTGACGACTGTTTTGGGACGTCCTACGTCCTTCTGTCTCTACGCTGTACGCAGGTTTCTGTTGGAGGCTTCCTTCAGTTAAAAGGACGTCTTTGTTCTCTGTGTACACCCACCTCATTGTTCGCAACCAAGATAGAGAACTAGACCAAAGTCAAGATTCAGTGCAGTGACATAGAGAAATGAATTCATTCATTCAACCTTTATTTAGACAGGTAAATCCCACTGAGCCTCGAGGACTCATTTACAAGAGAGACCTGATAGACCTGAGACCTGATTGTGTAACTGGATCAGAATCTGACTGGACTAGATTTATGTTAGTACTGAGCTCGACTGGATCTTATTGACTTGTTTACATTCAGCACCCTGAGATGACTTGTTTTATGAAGTGGTGATCTATGAATAAAGCCTTCACTGGCCTGCAGGGACGGAGACGAGGTGAGAACTAAATTATGAGGAATACATTTTGTGTGAAATCGCATTACAGTGACATGACGGCCATCAAACAATAAGTGATATGGACTCAGAGAAGTGTAGAAGCTGCTGGATCAGGAACCTCAAGCTGACCAGCTGAAGGTGGTGCCCTAACATCTGACTCTCATTATTGTCTCTGATCAGTCACAATATAGTTTCATAGGTTGCCAGCACTTCACAAAGTTCTCTCACCATTTTTACACTTTGTGATGCACGAAACCTAAGTAGAGAAGGGTTGGACACATCCACAGTAATTCTAAATGTTTAAACAAAAATCAACACAATTTGTCATGGAAATATTCTCAACATGTTCCTGAGATTTACGGAAGGAAATTAGAAACCCTGCAAATGCTTCGCAACAGTTTGGAGACTCCCTCATAGATGTCTTTCACAGTTAGTCTCTATCAGCTGCAGCCGAGCGAGACCATACCTCAGTGAAGTTAGTCTTGCAACAAATAAACTCAAATCTGTAAGTGCAACAACATTTAAAGCAAGACTTGGTTATCTGTATAGAAATTGATCTTCATTGGCTGCAAAATGCAGCATTATTGAAAAAAACATTCTACCCGTGTAATACCTTTAACGTTCAATGTTTGATGGGGGGGCGGCAGGTGTAGCGGTACAGGAACAACATATACACCTACCGCTAGGTGTCCAAAGCCTAGAGGGCCCTCTCGTGCCTCTAGCGGCTGCAAATTGTAACATTTACTCTGGTTCATTGTCAGTATGAATGAACATAATAATAATAACAATAATAATAATAATAATAATTTTTAAAAGTGTCAGTCAAAAATGGAGTTATGAATATGGAAAAAATACAAGTCGCTTCAGCGTATAAGTCGCAGGACTGACAAATCTAAGCAAACGAGTCCTCGAGGCTCAGTGGGACTTACCTGTCTAAATAAAGGTTGAATGAATGCAAAAAACTGTGACGTATACGCTGGAAAATACGGTAATTTGTGTTTTCCTTGCTTGTTACTGCCTTCTGTAATTTATTGTTTTGTCTAACTGTATGGTTTCCCTTCCCTTGACCCTACAAGTACCTGTTGGTGCTGCCAGGCCAGCTCTGTAAACAAGAACCAGTTCTTAGTGTTCATAGTGGTTAAATAAAGGTGAAATGAAAATCATTTACAGCACGTGTTTTTACTTTGATAAAATGATTAATTTCTTACTGCGAGTCATAAATCATGCTAAACCTAAATAAATACACCAAGAATATATACATTCAGATCACAAGGAGGACTCGGAGGGAAACCAACGAGCGCCAGCAGCCTGTTTGGTTCTGCGCCGCCTCGTCGGTGTAACTGTGTGTGTTGGACGGGAGCGCTCACCGCTCTGAGCGAGCAGGGGGGTGCTGGGCAGGGCGGGGGAGTCGTATGACGGGTGGCTGAGAGCTGGGATGGCAGGTACGGCGAAGCTCTTGAGTGGGTGGGCGTGGGCGTGCGGGTGGGCCGAGCGGTGGGGGGGTAGGTTGCTGGAGTAGCTGGGCTCCTCCTCGGTGGTGGTGGAGCCGTGGTAGCTGCCCTCGGGGTCGGCCAGGATCTCGGAAGGGCAGGAGACCTGGGAGGAGGCGGTGGGAGGAGGAAGGGGCTCTGAGCAGGGCGTGTTCCTCACAGACTCTGCAGGAGGAGGGAGGGAGCAGACAAACGATCATTTGAATCCTCGTGCATCAAGTTTGTGATGTGCACATAGATTTTCCTCAAGATTGCTGAAACGCTTGGCCAGAAAACGATTCAGTAGATCTCTAGGATGTCAACAAATTTGATAATTAACTTACTAGAAACATCTTACATTATTCATTTGTTGCTGCTTCTAAAATCGGAATAAATTAAAGTTTTATGTAGTTCGCTGTGCTGTTTAATGGGTGTGACTTGTAAAAGAATTGGCAGTATAAACACATCATCGTGAACTCTACATTATCCAAACTAAAAGGCTGAAAAAGGACGATGAATAATAGATGTTTTTCATAATATATCAGTCCGTTGAAGCTTCTCTGCGCTAATAGAAATGGCGTTTTCCATCCAATTCAACAAAAAAAAAAAACAGATGTACTTTGTATTCTTCAGTTAACGTGCTTTCACATGCAGATTAGTGTCCATATTTACGGCTTAAATTCAGATTATATGAATCCTAGGAAAACAACAAACCTGTCGTTTTCATAACTGTGAATTCATAATCTTTACATAATCTGGAATTCTGATCGTGGTTGGTTTATTTATTTATTTTTAATTATTTTAACTTCTGTGACATTTACAAGTAGCTCTGAATGAGGCTTTAAATTTTAGGTTTCTACTAGGAACACATCAGCCACTGACATCTTAAAATCCTGTTAAGCAACACACGATTAAGATAAAAACCTGACTATTGTAAATATATTTTCGTTAAAGCTACATAAAAAGTGGATCTTTATTTAAAGTTAGGAAGGTAAAAATACGTTTTTGGACCCACAGTTAAGATCCGATTTTGAAGAAATGTAAACCTTAAGAGATAAACTTAGAATTAAGTGCCTTTAAAACAAAACTGTTGATGTTCATTTAAGTTAGATCCAAAACTTTACACAGTACTGGCTTAAAGGATATCTAGTGATTGAACCCACACAGTACAGTAGTCCCTCACTACTTCGCAGGCTTTTCAACGATTGCCAACTTTAATATTACTCATATGACTGGGAAGTTAAAAAGTGAACAACAAAAAAAATTACTTCGGACAGGCGCCACCATTTTGTAGTTTTCTTTGAATAAGCCTATACTGTAATGCCAGTCCAAAAGGACTACATTACCCAGAAGCCAACAGTGCTTCCGGACGCTACTTTCTGCTGAAATGGAGGGAAAGTTTTGTTCCGATCTGAACCTGACTAAAAAGTTCAGTCCTTATTCATAGTGACTTTGGCGCTCAGTGGATGCAGAGAGTCCATCAGAACCAGATCAGAGCCGGACCAGAACTACTTCCAGCCTCATTGGTCAATCTGAGTGCTGCTTGCCGGGCTCCAAGTCGGGAGGCGTTGCTTGGAGGCCTGGTGCTTTCTTTGGAGCTCACCCGGACTTTTGTCAATGGATCCCTCTGGATTATTTAGACTCTTATCGGGACCATTGTGTGGTTTTGTGTTGGCTCTCCGAAGGTCCGGCTCTCTCTAAAAGTGTCTGGTGCTCAACGGCTGCAGAGAGCCGATCAGAACTGGACCAAGGCTGGTGAGTACCGTATAAAATTTTGCAGTAGCTACTGTACAGTACATATATGTATGTTGTTAAAATTACGTAGGTTGAAGAGTTTAGAACATTGCAAGAGTGTGGGAAGGGTTTATAAAGCCTTAAAATATATAAATACTACAATAAATACAACGTTTATACTTGGTGGTTTTTCACTTATTACGGGGGTGTCCGGAACATAAGTCCCGCCATAATCGAGGGACTACTTGTAAAGTCAAAAATATTATATTTATACATATACAATTTTAGATACTTGCCTTTGCTTCATTTTCTTGTCCAAATACGTTCACTTTCTGGTAGCAAAATGATCAAGATGCTAATAATCAACTGCTTTAATGCACACCAATATGCCCTATTTAACTCTGAAGAAAGCTTAAAACCTTTTTTACTGCACAGTATTAACCAAATGTACTATAAAATACACTTTCATACTAAAATAAAAAAGAGAAGTCTGAAAAAAGCTCAACCATTCTGAATCAATAGGCACTCAAATGACAGAATTAGGAACCAACAAAAACCGACATTACTCTTTCTTTAGTCAACCATTTAGCTGACTTTACCTTTGTGCTGGAAATGTTTCTAAAGTTGTGTATGCATAAAAAAAAAAAGATTATAAAAAGTAAATTTTAAAGACACATAAGATGCAACTTTAACGTTATGGAGAACTAAAAGATGAATGTTGCAGGATGGTGGCAGCTGCGTGTGAATGAATAGAAAATAGAAATCAATGAGCGACATGACAAGCTATAAGGCACGCCCGGTCCTCCTGAGTGTCCCTCCTGCTGTCCAGGAGCTCGCAGGGTCTCACCTGTGGAGTCCACCCTGTCTAGATGGGAGACGGGCACGGCGCAGGCGTGCGAGCGTGGATACCCGCTGCCCTGGTGGTAGAGGTAGCTGCGTGTCGGTGATACCAGGCTGCCCATGTGATAATGGTGGTGATGGTTATCGAGGGAATGGATGGGGTGAGCACTAATCACAGCTGCGGATGGAAATGGACATGCATACGTAAACACAAACAGGATGGAGCAGCGACAAACTTACAATGAATGAAACTAAATTATGATGACATGATCACTCTGGTTGTCGCCGCGTTCAGAAAGCAACAAACCCACAAAACAAATCAAATATTTTATGAGAAGCACGAAACGGGAGTTCTGTACTTTGATTTCTATGTGTTTTACTTAATTAGTTCTCACTATGTGTAGATTATGACAAGTTCACACACACTTTCATACACACACACTTACGCTGAGGCGGCTGTGCGTCAAAAGGCATCATCATTTTAGGCCTCATCCCTCGCCGGCCTGCTAGTGTGGACATGCTGTCTTCTGATTCGTGGCCTAAAAAGTACGGTGGAAACCAGCCTAATGTGAATGATCCATCTTTGTCTGAAACTATTCAGATATTACTGTTATTTGCATTTCAAAATCCTCAGTGTTTTTTTTTTGTGGGTGTGTCAAATATTAATATTTAGATTAAGTGTGTTGTACAATTAAACCCAATTAAAAAAGGGACATTGTATAAAAAAACAAACAAAAAACAAAACACTGAATGCAATGACTTGGAAATCTCATAAACTCATTTTTTTATTCACAATAGAGCTTAGCTAACATATCAAATGATTGAATAATAATCTATATGTATATATATATATATATATATATATATATATATATATATATATATATACATACATATACAAATTGTTTATACTAAGTGCTTTTTTAAAGGTATTTTAAAATTTAATGGCAGCAACACATCTCAAAACAGTGGGGGCAGGGCAACAATGCCTGCAAAGGTGAGTGGTATAAGAAACCGCTGAAGGAGCATTAATGAGGTTAAATGGCAACAGGTCAGTACGAGGAATGCGGAGAGGAAAAAAAGAGAATTTCAGAGGCTGAATCACTCAGAAGTGAAGATGGGCAGAGGTTCACCAGCTTGTGAAAAACTTCATCCAAAAATAGTGGAACAATTTCTAAGACTAAGATTAAGTTTGACTACGTATCTCACTATTTACAGTACATTATCATCAAAAGACCAAGAATCTAGAGAATGCTTTGTGCTGAAAGGACTAGGCTTAGAGTCAGTATTGCATGCTGGTGATCTTTGGGCCTACAGGGGCCGCTGCATTAAAAACTGGTCTGGTTCTACTCTGGACATCACAGGCTCAGGAACACTTCCACAAATCATTGCCTGTAACCACAGTTCAACGTGACATCCATAAAAGATTGTTAAAGCTCTATCATGCAAAGACAAAGTCATATGTAAACACCATCCAGACTGTCTTCTTTGGGCCAAAGCTCCTTTAAAATGGACTGGGACAAAGTGGAAAACTGTTCTATTGTCAGAGATAAACCATGAACTTCACAACCTCTGTATTAAAGCCAAGTGGAACCATCCAGCCTGTTATCAGCACTCAGTGCGCTGCCTCTCTCATGGTATGGGCATGCATTAGTAACTCAGGCACGTATAGTTTACACATCTGGAAAGGCAACATTAATGCAGAAAAGTATATACCAGTTTTAGAATACTTCTATCCAGAAAATGTATTTTTCAGGGAAAGCCTTGCATATTTCAGCAAATCACTGGTAAACTGCATCCATTACAACAGCATGGTTTGTATTAGAAGAGTCTGTGTGCTGAACTGGCCTCAAGTCCAGACCTCTGAAAACATTTGGCACATTAAAAAACTAAAAGCTCCAGCAAAGAAGATCCACGACTAGAACAGCTTACATCAGTCAAGGATGGGACAACATTCCCCTCCAAAACCCCGGCTGCTGGTTGTCTCCGTCATTACATATTACGGTACTGTTGTTTAAAAAGGAGGGGACGCTTCACGGTGGTAAACATGGACCTACCTTGTCTTTTTGGAGACATGTTGCTGTCATCAAATTTTCTTAAATCTTTCTAAGAATAAAACAATCTTTGACATGTTTATACTAAGTTTCATTGTGAAACATATCGGTTTATGAGATTAGCAAATTCTTGCATTTGGTTTTATTTACGTTTATACAAAGTGCCAACGTTTTCAGAACGGGTGTTGTACTTGCGTGTAGCTGTGACACTGATATGTGCGTTTGCAGCACCGTGATCTGTAATGAGCACTGAAATATGAAAAGCATGAAATGTTTTGCATGAAAGTCACAGACACATGACAAAAGTAAGCATCTTAAAATCTTCAGGACTCCAGCAGACAGAGTCCTGGAAGGAAACCTTCAGGTTGTTAATCAATTTCCTGACAAAATAATAAACTCCTTCCACGGTCAGGCTCTCAAAATCCTATTTCCTGTCTGCCAGCCAAACCCCAGACTTTATGCTCAGTGTTATTATATATGTGCGCTCAGGCAGTGAGGGTGACATTTCACTTAGATTTACTTTCCAAAACATCAAGTTTTAGGTCATCCCTCTGGAAAAACAACTGACCACGGTAGGAGTTGCGTCTCTGCTGCAGGTGGGGGTTGCTCTCCAGGCTGCTGTCGGCCGGCGTGATGTCCTGTGAGCTGCGTGGGATGGGCGTCTCTGTCATGACAGTGTTGGGCTCTGGTGACTTGTCCATAGGTTTCAGTTCCAGCCTTTCATGATGAATCCAAAGATCAGGTGGCTTCAGGTCCTTGGAATTGCCCTTGTATTTGTGGGATCCATTTGTGGACTTTGAGGCAGCCCGTTTTCTGCAAGAGAAAGCAGAGACACCTTCATCTAGAGAGACAGTGGACAGTGTACGAGACAGAAACACAGGAAAGAGCAGAGCTGGAGCTGAGGACAAGTTCTGCTGGACAGTAGCTTGAATAATTTTTAACAGACAGAAGTTTCTCAATTCAGATACATAACTACTCTTCAGATGAGGCCCTGCTTACATGTGGAGTTCCTCAAGGGTCCGTCTTGGGACATGTCCTGTTTTCCCTTCAGATAAAGCTTTTTGAGTTTATTTAAATAAAATTTTATTTGATATACATAAATGTATCTTCTTCTATCCATCCATCCATCCATCACTGTTACTGTATATGATAATATATTATATTATCATTTAATATATGTATATAATATAGCATATATATATATATATATATGTATATAATATAGCATATATATATATATATATATATATATATGTATACAAATTAGTATATAATATATTATATATCTTAGTCTTATCACATGATAACCACCATCCATCCATCCATCCATTTATTTATTTATAAAATATCAAAATAACTGGTGTAGACTTTATTGGACAGTTCAAATAAGATCAAAATGTGGAAGAATTTAAAATGACTTAAACCAAATCATTTGCAAGTGGCACAAAACAAACAACTATCTTCCAACAAGATTGAGAAATCATCACTGCAGCACAACTGATAATTGAAGACGTCTCTTTTTACTGGTTCAATTCAACACTACCATTTTGATCCAATTTATTGCACAGCATGTTTGTTTATCTTGTTTTTAAATGTTTTATGAATAAGCTGACATGAACACAATGAGTTGAACATACGCCAGAAGCTCTAAGAACCAATCAGGGCAAGAGAGGTACAATATTTAGTGCATATCTTACTTTTTCTGGTGGGAGGTGGTGCGACGTGTGCACAGGAAGGCACCCACTACCACGACTATGGTGGTAAAGGCTCCCACTGAGATAATGACAACAATGACCAGGATGTGATTCTCACCACTCCCGACACCTGTTTTACCTCAAGAAGACAGAGAGTGGATTAGATGCATTCATTAAGACAACTTTATTATCACTGAAGAGTCATCAACCGGAAAGAGTCAAGTCAATTTTAATGTTCAGGGTGAACTTAAAAAAACATTCATAAAACTGTTAGGTACAATCATGGCAGGTCAGTTTCACACATCTATTGTTCAATTAATTTGCATGCATTTGTGTCAGTGTAATAATTTTTTAGCAATGTTATACAATTTTTCTGCGTCTAAAATAAAGGTTTGGAAATGTATCAAAACTGCTGGTTTAGATTCTCAGCCATCCAGGATGTGATAAATCCAAGAAAACCAAAGGCTGGGTGAACATACAGTATTTTTCGGATTATAAGGCACACTTAAAATCCTTTAATTTTCTTAAAAATTGACAGTGAGCCTTATATATTAATTCTGGTTGTGCTTACTGACCTCAAACCGATTTTATGTATAACAGCTGAACAATGTTGAGAGTTAATGTGAATCAGTTGAATAAAGTTTGACTTATCTGACTGTTTTTATTCGCTTAATGCGCCTTATAATCCGAAAAATACGGTAATTCATATCTGGACTGTAGTTTTTGTCATCTCTTGGGAGCGTGTGCGCTGAACAGGAATCGGAGGGTGGGTTTATATTCTTACCTAGAGGAGTCCCAGGGTCGTGTGGATGTTGGCTGCCTGGAAGTCCTGCCTTCGGTAGAAGATTTGAGGCTGGAAAAATGAAGAAAAAAAATAAAGATTTTAAATCCTTCTCTGCGAGAACACAAAAGTCTAAAAATGCTACAGGCACAAATGCATTTTGCCAGCATGCAGTGCAGTGTAACTCGTCATCAGCCCAGAAAAACAGAGGCACACGAGGTGCGAAGTGAGAGGAGGGAGTTTACCTTGGTCGTTAGCCATTTTGTCAGGCTCAGCTTAACAGGCCAAAGGAGAGCAGGGAGGAAGAGACGATAAAGAGCAAAAAAGAAAATGAAAAAGGTTAGCTGAGAAGAGCAGCGAGGGACAGCGAAATAAAGATGGGGACTGTGGGGAGGAAGAGGAGGCAACACTAGAGAAATGAGTTCAAATGTGTGGCTAAGTCAAACAGCTGCTGAACAGAATGTGCTGCGGAGTCGAGCTGGTATTGGTGGCAAAGCATCGACACGGAAATAATTACGTCACAATAAAACTGCGATTTCACATTTTTCACAAAAACATACAACAAAACATCCAATATATAAAAAAAAAACCTATTAAATATTTTAAACTAATAAAACAAGCTGCATGTGCATTCTAATTTATCCTTAACGTTTTTGTTTTATTTCCTAAATTTAGTTACAACAGCCTTTAAGGGCAAATGAGTCAATCACATCTATTATTCTTCTTCTTTCGGCTTTTCCCTCTTCAGGGGTCTCCACAGCGAGTCCTCCTCCTCCATCTATGTCCTCACTCCAACTACCTCCATGTCTCTAACTGCATCCATAGATCTCCTCTTTGTCTTTTTCCTGGCAGCTGCATTTCTAACATCCTTCTACCAGTATACCCACTGTCCCTCCTCTGGACATGTCCAAACCACTGTCCCTCCTCTGGACATGTCCAAACCATCTCAGTCTGGTCTCTCTAACTTTATCTCCCAGTTGTTCAACCTGTGCTGCACCTCTGATGATCTCATTCCTAATCATCCATCCTTGTCACTCCTATAAGAAGAACCTCAACATCTTCATTTCTGCCACTTCCAGTTCTGTCTCCTGTCTTTTTGTCCATGTCTCTGTCTCCAGACCATAATCACATCCATTGCTCTGATAAAAATGAATGGAAAAAACATTCTTGAAGAGATGTGTCTGAGATCTGAGATGTTCTTAAGAAGTCATGAAGATGAGGTTTTGCGAGATGAAAATGTATCAGGCTAATTATCTGAAGGATCCAAAGTGTTGCAATAAAAGAACATTTTTCATGTCAGGCAAAGCAAAGCCCTGGAGATGCATCGTGTTAACATCCATCGTCTACTTTAAGATGCAGAAAACGAGACCAAATCAAACAATGAAGACTTACTCTTGGGCGTGCGGAACTGCACGGCCTCCGACATGGGGCCCATGCCCTTTGAGTTCCGGGCCTGGATCTTGAAGTAGTAGGTGGTGTCCAGAGTCAGATCCTGGATCTGGTGTGTGAGCCGGTTCCCCACCACCGGCTCAATAACCCAGTCATGAACCACTGCGTTGACGTCTGTACTGTAGTAAATAATATAACCTAAAAAACAAAAAAATCTGAAGTTAGTATTTTATACTTATTATAGCAATATAAGATCGAAGTGTTAGTTTTAAAAACTAGTTTTAAGACCATTTGCTCAAACCTGTTCTAAATGTCCAATTTCCAATTCCATTTTTTTAATACGAAACTATTCAAATTTAAAGTTTTGTATCTTAAAAAGGATAAACACGCTTGTTTGTGATGTTAAAATCATTTTTTATTGATATGACGTAAAAAAAAAAAAACTAAAATAAAATCTAACACATTTGTCCAAAAATACAATAATTAAAACTTGTTTTTATTTGTGACTTTATTTGCAGTCGGCTTTGAAATTTTAGGATAATAATTGTAACAAAGTGTGTTCTTTTTATAAATAGTTGTACAACAACAACAACAACAACAAAAAGCTCTTATTCACTTGTGCCGTACATCCTGTTTTCGGTTGTGGTTTTAATGGTCAAAATAAATATCCAACCCATCTGTGAGGCTGTGATGGTAAATCCACGATGAATCTGTCAGACTCACCAGTGATCTTCCCGTTGGCTTCAGAGGGAGGCTGCCAGTTCACAATGATGGTGCGAGGCTTGTTCTCTTTGCTCACTACGGTCACATCTTTAGGGGGTGAGCTGGGAACTGTGAAGAAGATGAAAAAGCAAATTATTGTTTTCCCAAACAAGAATAACTTTATCAGTGTGAATAAAACCCTCTGCTCTGTGTATCGGTACATACTGTACATGGTGGACTTTTCAGCTCATTACTTGCATTTGCTGGTATTTGTGTATGAATGACTTTGCACATATTACCCACTACACGCTTCTTCGACAAAACCCCCGGCTGGGCTGAAATGAAAACTGTTTATTCCACTGTTGTTAGAGCGTAATATGCCTCTACCACTGAAGGAAATCAGTTCTTTAAAAGCTTTAAGGCTCAGTTTAGCATGTGCTGAATCAGCAAATATTCTTTACGTAGAAAATATGAACATGTTCTAGCTTACATATTTTATTATTAAGGTAAAGACAGATGTACGTTTCCTCAATAAATACTTATAATTTCCATAAGAACACAGGAAGTAATCTTTAAAATGTATGTTTTAGTTTAACGAAAACTCAAACGACTTTTAACGACTTTTTCTATGTTTAACGACTTTTTCTATGGCTTTTCTGTGGCAACATAACTATTTTAAATGTGTTTCATGCTATATAAATAATAATTTGTTTTATAAAAATGTAATTTCAGCAAAATTTCCATATAAATTATAATACAGTGACGTGTGCCCTGTACCCTACAGTCGATACAGTCCAGCATTCCTGCATCACAACAGATTACTGCGTGTGGCCATGTCAAGAGATCTGCTGCGTTCCTGTGTTTTTTAAATTTGTTCTTCTTAAAATGTTTTGCGTTCAGTTGAATCAGCTTTTGCTCTAAACAGGCAATCAGTATCATTTGTCCAGAAGCCTCTAGATCAGGGGTGTCCAAACATTTTCATATTTGTGCCAAAACTATCCAGAAGAAGCGACTTATGGGCTACAAAAATGTGAATTTACAGTAACTCAACAACGTGAAGAATGTTTTGTAGAAAGGACAAAAGTTTACAAATTTTGGTGGATAAAGAGTTTTAAATTGTTGTAGATCCAAAACATTGGGGTCGATCAGCCTTTTGGACCATGGACGAACCAAAAGGCTGGTAGAAGTTCTGAAAAATCATCCAGCTGTCAGTCGCTACAACAGATTCATAGAAGGTTTGATAAAGTTGATCAACTCGTATGTAGATGATACCACGCTATATTCATTTAAAATGTCCAGTTTCCCTCTTGATTATTTTATCAACTGCAATATTTAGCCAAGTTTTATGAATCATTATCCAAAATTCTCCTTTCTGGTAGAAATCAGTAAAGGTTTTCGGTGATTTGTACCACGAAGTGAAAATAAAGTGATTATAGCCAAAGATTTGTATTTTATTGCTCATTTTGAGAAGATTGTTTTTCATCAGTTTTGCTGTTGAACCTAAACATTATATATAAAATAATTACCAACTAATCTGCAGAAAGTCTGCATCGACCTCTTAAGCCTAATGGCCAAAATGAGACCATTCTTAAACTGCAGGTGTGGGCCACACAACGTCACCCCAAGGGCCGCAAATGGCCCGCAGGCCTCACTTTGGACACCCGTGCTCTAGATCAAATCAAAAGCTCAGAGTTTCTCTGGATGGCTAAAAATGAGAGAAGACGGGCAGGACACAGCTCTAGCTGCAGTCCAGGGTCCAGACAGGGAGCCTGAGTCCAGAGAAGCGTCATTAAAGCCCTACAACCCCACCCAAACACCATGCACCTTTAAGGCGTGTGGAAATGAAGAGCCAAAAGAAGTTTAAAGCACTCCAGGAGAACGATGAACCACTGGATCTGGTTCAGTAAGTAAGTGCTATATACAATGACGTCCATACAATGATGAAATCAGTTCTCTGCATTTAACCCATCACACCTGAGACACACCCGGGTGGAGCAGTGGCAGCTATGTAAGCGCCTAGGGAACAATTGGGGATTAGGTGTCTTGCTCAAGGACACCACGACATGTGAGAATAGCTGGGGAGTCGAACTGCGACTCTCTGGTCCCAGGACGGCTGCCCTACATCTACACCAACTCAGACCCCCAAGATGGTGTAGTTCTTATAACAAAGTAGTGTGCCACTATGGCATCAAGTGCACAGCTAATGCATCAACATCACCCCCAATCAATATTATTACTGGTTAGTATACAACATGTGACTGAAATTGTAACTTTTTATTCAATTATTACAGCATTAAACTATTACTTGTATTTACCCTTCTTATACCAAAGAAAATATGTGTTTGGGAGCATATTTAGGTTTAGATTATATATAAAAAGGCATTTATAGGCCTTTTTCTTTTAACCTCTTCAGAGATTTACTTTTTGTTTTTACACTTCACTGGTGCTCTAAGAATGTAAACCACCCGTGAATTTCAGGGTTTGACTATATAACTGGTCATTTTTTGAAGCCCAAACTAACGACTGAGTCATGTTTGGTTCTTTATTGTTCCTCAGATTGAGACGCCTGATCATGGGTTTGCAAATCAAATGTGCGAAAATGGAAACTAATGACGAAAACATTATTTTTATTATTATTACTACTACTCAGGTGGCCTGTGTATTTTAAGCTGAAGTGCAGCTCTTCCATTTTTCTCCAGAGCAGAGCTGAAACGTGAAATCACCATCTTTGCTGCAGATGTCTGGTCCAGTTCCCACACGTTGTGAAGTAACAGCTTCATTCCTCTCAGCTTGGTCTACAAAGAGCTGACCATCATCCCCGACCAGCCGGAGGCCTGTCACCCTGCAGGTGTTTCTCCCTCTAGATCTATGCTAACAGTGAGTGTTTGAGCAGAGCGGGCTGTGTGCTGTGTGTTTGTGGTGTTTACTGGTCTCCAGGGTGGTGCCCACGGCCGTCATGCTCCACGTGCTGAAGCGGCGACCTTTGGTCACCATGACGGAGAACTCGTACTGCGTGTTGGGCTTCAGACCCGACACCACGTGGCTCAGAGTGGTGGAGTTGGCCATCTGAGGAGAGAAAAGCAAAACACATGCGGAATAAACTTAATGATCATTCTACGTTGTGTGATAGTAAATGTTCATTCAACCTTTATTTATACACGTTAGTCTAATTGAGCCTCAGCGACTCATTTACAAGAGAGACCTGATTTTGAACAAAGAATAAAATAAATAAAAATCATCTCAGAGTTGACAGGCGACGTCAGAGCAGCTGCTACACATCAGTCCATCTGGAGACGATCACAGGTGTGTCAGTTCCTTTAAACAGGACACTGGACAAGAGACCCCTCAGTGGGACCAGTTTAAGTGGTCTTCACCACCAGCAGCCTCAGAGCTGGACATTTAGCTCATGTTCAGTGAGTCCAGCGTCTTTCTGCTTCAAGTTTGACCTCCATCAAGCTCTACACCACCACTACGGTGTCCCTGAAGGCCATTTTCTGTGTTGCCCAACTTGGTCTGAGCTGCTGCAAACATCTGCAAGAACCTCCAGCCTTTCTACTCTGTTCCTCCGGGGAAAATGTACTTAGTTTTGTTGTGAGTTTAATCAGCCACAAGAATAAAACATCTTTACAATCTTAAACTGGACTGACGTCTAAACGTAAGCAGTTGTGCAAACACACATGCACGATGACTACTTTCTGCACATTTCATTACCTCTATCCAGCGGTTCACGATGTATTTAGTTAACGTCAGACATCGTTGATTCCAACAAGTTATTAGTGTAACGGAGTTGAAAATGCACTCTGAAGTTGTTGTTTACTGTGTTAATAATATGTTTGTGAATTTTATCTTATTGTCTTTTATTGTGAAATGTGTCAAAAGGTGGAAATTATGTCATTTCGTTCTGGCAGCATCCTCTCCCTCACTTTGCCACCATGCAATGTGAGGGGTGTTGGTGGCTTTGTTTTTCTTTGTCTGCAGAAATGTAGCTATTTAAGTTATACATATTTTGGTATGTTGGTTGATATCAAGTTCACACTGTTATTGTGGCTTTTATTTTTCATTTTGACCGAAAAACCAAAGTTTTTATAGACCTTTTATTGTCTCAACTGTAAGCAAGTTTGGCGCCATTTTCAGTTTAGTGCGCCCTCTTGTGGTTGATGACTGTAATGGCTCTGCAGATGTTTGCTGCCATGCCACAGTAACATTTATTTCTGCATGTGTAGGAGCAAGACACACACAAGACAAATGATGTGTTTGTTTTATTGCCTTCTTTTATTAGTCATGTTAAATACTACTGTTAAATATTATGTGCACTGCTACACTTGTAATGTACTGTTTTCATTTAATTTTTAGAAGATAATATTAATTGTTTTGTTTTAATCTCCTGAATGTAAACACTGAACACTGTACGGCTCACTTTGTCACCATGCAATGTGAGGGAGCCAGAAGTGCAGGACACAGAAGACAAATGATGTGTTTGGTTTACTGTCTTCTGCAGGAGAGCAAATAAACTGTGAAGAAACAGTATCTGGATTCTCAGTCATTTAAAGAAAATAACCATCGTTACACTAGCTACTTGCTTTTGACAAGCCTCATATAGTCAGTTAATACAAAGTTTAGCTTAGTGCCTATAAATCTGACAGAGTTACACCCGTTTTAGTGTTTGTTAAGGTTGATTAAATATGACGGCCATTTTGAATTGAGTTGACTCGAAAAATGATCATTTGAAGAGGTATATCAAGTAATTACTTTGTGAGAGTTTTATTGGAATCTGTCTGATGGTTCATAGGATGTTTCGCTAACAGGCACATATGTGCACACAAAGTCTCGGCAACAATTTACAACCAAATTACATAGAGTTTAGCATAAAATATGACAAATAATGAATCTAGACAAATATATATATATATATATATATATATATATATATGTATATATATATATAAAGATTTGTACTAGCAAGACTACTTGAGCTTAGAAAAAATAACCAGAATTTTACGCATTTCACTTTCATGCAACTATGATTTAATGTCGCCCATCAATAACAAACAATACATCTTCAAACTCTAAAATAATGCCTCTGTTTTGCTGCATCATCAGCACGTGTGGACTAAAACACAAACTACGGTGGAATGCTGTTAAAGACCACAAGCTGCGGCCTGTCTATGGTCGTTTTCACACCTGATGGTCCAGTAGACTTGGTTCTATTGGGGACCAATATTCAGAACATTTGTTTACATTTTCAGCTGGTGCGGTTCACATTCACACTACACTGAGTCAATGAGCCAACCTGTTCCCCCACTCACCTGTGGTGGCGCTGCACCAAGAACTACTGAAGGAAATGACACAAAAACCTCTGAAGAAGACACTGAGCGCAACTTACTTCTGGAAATAAAAAACAAAAACGGAGTGGCGGCAAATTTTTGCGGTTTTAGGATTTCTGTTTGGTCTATGGCTCATGTGACAAACAAACATTTTTCAACAATGGATTCAGCATGAGCGGAAGATGAGGAAGACCATGGAGAATGTCGTTTTTCACACAAGGCAGCTGAGACGGCTCTGTATGAGGTAGGGGTGGGCGATATGGCTCAAAAATAATATTGTGATATTTCAGAGCATTCTGACGATAACGATACATTTCGCGATATAAAAAAACAAACAAACAGAAATCATAGTTATTTATTTGACAAAATTAGCTTAACATGTTGTTTTGCAGTGTTACATAAAATTTTAAAAAACAAGGGGTAATTTTACTGAAATTACTTTATTTAGTAAAGTATTCAGTCTCCAAGTATAAAAATAAAAATTATCCTTCTGTTATTTAGATTGAAAAAGTCTGCACAAAATATAGATCAATAAATCCACCAAAAAAACTAAAGTGCAGGTGGTTTCCCAAAATAACTAAATAAAATGAAAGCTTAAGATCTGTTGAGCATAAATGTAACTTACAACAAAATATATGTTGTCTTTAAATGAGCTATAACTTCCAGAACTTGTAACAAGGTGATCAGCTGACCCTGAAGCTTGTGGAGTTTCTTCTTCCTCTGTTCCTGCAGGAATGATTCATTTCTCTGATGCTCTGTCTCTGATCACCTGACTCTGTTCTTGGTCCATGGACGGTGGAACTCAAGAGACAGACCTGTGCGTGTTTGCACGAGCAGCTTAGAAGATATGACTGGCCATTAGAAGACTTAGAAAGGGGGAGACGCAGCCCGCACCGGCAGCCCAGACCAGGGTGGGGAGTAAAAAAAAAAGACGAGTGGCAGCTTAGAGCGGGGGGAGAGAGAGACAGTTGAGCTGTCTGTACCTGCAGTTTAGAGCTGGATGGAGACACAGCTGAGCCATGCGTTGTTTGTTTTTAGCTTTTTAGCTAGCTAGTATTGCGCGCAGCTAATTAGCATCACACCAGTACCGACAGGTGGAGGGGGGGTGCGCAGTTCGGTATGGTCGTTCGGCGCGCTCGGTTCTGTTAAAGGGGTGGGACGCCCTGACGTATTACGTCATGAAATGAGCATATCATGATATCACTTTTTTGCCCGAGCAAGCTTTTTTTACCGGTATTATCATGAATGATATGATATGGCCCAGTCCTAGTATGAGGTAAGAAATGCACGTTTGTTTTGGTTGTATTTACCCAGAATGCCCTGCCAGAATGCGCTGTAGTCCACTTTCTGCTTTTGGTGCGGTCTCTGGTCCACTTTCATTCACACTGCATTCAAACCGCTCCAGAATTCACTTCAACCGAATTGAGACCTAGATATTTAGGTGGACCAGAGTTCACTTTTTTGGTCCACACCAGAGTTTAATTGCGCATCGACACCTCCTCAAACGAACCAGACTTTCTAGGCAAACGGACTAGATTTCGATTAAAGTGGACTAAACAGGGCTGGTGTGAATGCACCCTATGAAACATGCAAAATGTCTAGATTTAACAAATCTGCTGGAAAACCACAGCAATATAGAACAAAACTGCACGGCAGCTGTACTTAAAATCAGGATCTATGCAGCCTCCTTGAATCGGCCTAAAAAAACAAGACTAGTGGGAGAATCAGGTTCGCCTGTGATGTCGCTTTGCAATGACTAAAGTGCAGCTCTCCACTGGGGGCTGTCAAGCAGAGGGCAGTAGGGTAGGACAGGAAACCACTCTTCTCTTTAGCAACACGCAGCCAGTTTAAGAGCAGTCATCCCCTCAATAATGCACAAGGCTGTCGGGTTAGACTCGGTCCAAAAGAGGCAGTGGGGTGAAGGCGTTTCTGCTAATGCAGCTGTAAAACAGCTATTCTCACATTTAAAACAAGCCTGTGTACAAGAGCAAGTTTCCAAAGCACAGAGGCTTTTAATTCATTTCATCCAAGGAACAGAAACTTAATGAGTCTGAGCACATCTTTAATTACAACCACAATGTGAGGATTAAATCAAAAGGCTCCGCTCACATTAGAGAATTTGTTGCGTACGTCCTCTAACAGCTTTAATGTTTCTCTGAAAGACAATAAATAAAAGATAAATCCTTTCAGCTAGCTAAATGACAGGTGAAGCTCGTGCACAGAGGCCGTCATCAGCTGACAGAAAGCTTCATGGAAGCATCCTGTGCGAGACTTTTAGTGTATTTTGTGTCTGTGTTCGTTTGATTGTGCACGTCTGTCCCATGAGTTGGCTATACGGGGAATGCATTGTCAGATCTACACCCCCCTTTTTTTTCTGGCTCTCAGTTTGTCTTGTCCTTGTTGAATAATTTATCAGTAGACGCAGGCCTTTATTTGAGCTCTGCTTGGTCACAGGTTTGCACACACGCATGAAACCAGAACTGCACAAACAAAACGAGCACATACACTCTTTTATTTGGTTATTTTAATACAAACGTACCACGTTAATGGTAGCAAAATTAGATTGTTTTCATGATTTGATCATTTTATTTTTACATTAAAGCTCAGTAAGGAGGCACACAGCAATACGCATGTAAATAAGCACACAATGACTTTTGCAGAGGAGTCCTTGCATATATCAGCAAGACAATGTTAAACCACAACTGCATGGCTTTGTACTAGAAGGGTGCAGGTGCTGAACTGGCATGCCTGCACCAGTACAGACTTCTGAACAACAAAAAACGATTTGGTGCATCATAAAAACAAAAAATCTGGCAGAGACGCAACACTGTTTTTTTATAGTAAACCATTCCAAATATAAACTAATACAGTAGTCCCTCGCTACTTCGCGGTTTGACATTAGCGGACTCCCTCTATCGCGGTTTTGTGGACGTACAGTTCATAGTAACTGACAAAAAATACTGTACAAGACACTCGATTGTGGACTGTACAGTAATATCACTGTTCTCATGTGGTTATGAAAAAGTTAATGACAAAAAATAATAATGATTTAGACAGGCACCGCCATTTTGTAGTTTTCTTTCATTCAGCCCCCACTCCACTGTAATCACCACTCATAAGGACTACATTGCCCATACGTCAATACTGTAGCACCTGCGGCTGCTGTTTTTTGCAAATGACTGCTGAACTGGCCTTTCAAACGTAAAATTTAATTCATGTCATGGAAAAGTTTTTTTTTTTTAAAGAAAATTCAACTTTACAAACGTAAGATTCACAAGAAAGTGTCAATCATGCCAGGACATAAAGGCATTCTGATTCTGACATGTCTCTTTAAGAAACAGAATGTTGCACTTAGTAACCCGGGCGCTGACTGGCTCAGTTTCCATAGAAGACGGTCTGTTCTCTTTACCTGCACTCTTTTTCAACTGTACTTCAAGTGTGTGATGACTCCTAAATGTTCTGTGCATTAAACGTTTCATGTGTCGAACCGAAACGCCAGCGATGCTGACGATTAAAGAAAAAGTGGAACTTCAGGACAAACTTAAAGATGGCTGTACCTACGTGGATGTTGGACGCCTTTACGGCACGATTGTTAAGATGGAAGCTGCAGTGGTCGTGGATTAATGATTGCAGAAAAAAAACATCTCTTTGGCTACTAATACCATCTGGACAAAGGTGAAACAACTTCATGATCGTCTTGCAGCAGCACGGAGGAAGCACATGGTGATGTAAATGTGGAAGGGGCTGGACAAATCCAAAGCTTTGACCACCTGGTTCAACCACCGAACCACTGCATTCAGTGCCAGCAAGGGATGGTTCGACAAGTTAAAAAAATTATTTGGATTAAAAAGGATTTCTCTGCATGGAGAGGCTGCGTCCACTGATACAGCAGGAGTGGAGGAATTTGTTAACACGACGTTCAAAGATGTGATCGCCGAGGGGGGCTATAGGTCTGAACGAGTTTTTAATGTGGACAAAACGGGCCAGTTCTGGAAAAGGATACCATCTCACACTTTTATTATGAAGGACGAAGCCAAAGGCCCTGCTTTCATCTAATTTTTCACTCATTTTCTCATTTCAGCACTTGCTCTCGTGCAAGGCGGATGCCTCCTCTCCCTCTCCGGTTCTCCTCCTGCTTTTTTTTGCTCTCTGTCTGTGTAACGGAGCTCCTATTTTACACATCTTCTGAAACAAAAACTACTGTCATGGATCTGGTCAGCTGGACTTTCAACACAATCGACAAAATCTTTTCAACAAAGCAACAGGGTCCTGGAGAGCCCTCATGCCCTGCTGAGACTCACGCGGCAGGATACGTCATGGAAGTGTGGCGTTTGGGAGCTGACGTGTCTTTCCGTTTTGTCTCAGGAGGACGCCAAAGATGTTTATATAATTGGATTCATGATAGCAGGGTTTCTGCTTTCGGGCATCGGCAGATTTCTATATTATCGACTATTAAGGAAGACGGCGGCAGCAGTTTCGGCCATGGCAAAACTGCCGAGTCTGTGTGAAGGTTTGGTTCATGCTTCGAGTACTCAAAATCAGCTGATTTATGAGCTAAACTGTAAGATGGAAGCGATTTGTGAGAATTTCAGGCCACCTGCGGCTTCTGGCACTCGCCAGCATGTTGGAGACGACCTCGGAGGAGGCTCATAAGCACGGACCAGTGGAACGCCCACAAACCTGGCCATTTTGGATCTTGAAAGTACCAGCAGGACTCAAGGCTGACAAGAAAAAAAAAAATCAACAATTGTGGCTTATCTGAATCTGACTCCCCTCAATGGCCTCAAAAATAGGCTGACTTATCAAATTTATCCTGTGATATGTGTAAACTAAGGAAGAGCTTGTCTATCACAACACCCCCTGAAGGCTTATCAGAACTGTGCTGGCTGACACCAACATCTTATCAGGACTACGGTCCATCTGGAAGTGCTTCATGGACAAATCTCACCAGCTTGCTGTCAAATGCATATGTAATGTGTTTATTATGAACGTGCTTGCTGGCAGAGTTTGTGATGTCTCAAATTGTGTCCTGATAGGACAAGGTGTGAAGAGATCTTTTTTTGTAATGTCACTATCCATCCTCATGGCTTTTTCCCTTCTTCTATTTAGAAAAGTATTCTGAAAAAGAATAAGGGGCCGCGTTCCTGTAGTAGCAGCAACATGCACTCCACCCATCTTTCGGACGACTGTACAAACATAATCTCACTGTATTTTGGTACAATGATAATACAGTTTATTCTGAGTCTGATCTTCATCATCTTCATCGCCTTCACCGTCATCACTACTGCACAGCTAATTCTTCATCTTAATTACCTTCATGGTCATCACTAGACAGCTAATTCTTCATCCACATCTCTTTTTCATCTTCAACTTCTCTGGTGAGTACCCATTTAAAATTCAAAGTTTTTAAAGGTTTAAGAGTTTAGAAAACTGTTAGGACCATTGTAAGAGTGTGGAAAGGGTTTAAACGCCTTAATATACCATGTTTTTCAGACTATAAGGCGCATTAAGCAAAACAAAAGCGTCAGATAAGTCAAACTTTATTCAACTCATCCCCAATAACACTCAACATTGTTCAGTTGTACCACATAAAATCAGTTCGAGGTCAGTAAGCAGAACCAGAGGTGCACTGGATTATAAGGCTCACTGTCGATATTTGAGAAAATTAAATTAAGTGCGCCTTATATTCTGAAAAAAAAACAAAAAAAAAACCAGTATATATAAATACTAAAATAAACATAGCGTCCCTACTTCGCAGAATTTTATTTACTGCGGGGGGCTCGGAACCAAACTTACTGAACAAGAAAGCTAAGTTAAAGTCGGCACATAATAAACGTGTGGTCAGCAGCACCTTGCAGTGCCACACTGCAACAGAGACATGATCCTTAAAGTCATATCAACGGTGTGTTCTCTGTTTTACACATCTCCTGTTGTCTAGCGCATAGATGTGAAAAGTTTAAACTGAAATCAAATTGGAAAAAAATAAAAATAAAAAACAATTGCCTGTAAAAGTTTTTCATAATTTATATGAACATCTGTTTCTTCTGATGCTGGTTCATCGGTTGATGGACAACATGGTTTTTCTCTGATATAACATCAGCCCCTGACAGCCGAAGCTTGATTGTCTCAAACGATAATACCCTTTTATTTTCCGCACATTGAAATATGGACTTCAACAACAATTAAAACAAAAACACGAAGGATTTATAGATATGAAACATCTGAAAATGATTTGTTTCTAGGTAAATCACACTGAACAATAAACAAGTTAAAACCTGAATGAGCTTCAGTACCACGCTTTGATATAAACTGGGGCCTATTTTCTAGGAACGTCTTCAAAAATTAAATTTTAAACTAATAAATCTTGAAAAACAGTATTTAAGATGCTATAAATTAAAATAAAAAGGAATCTTACCTTCACTTTAGCATTGGCGGGGATATTGGTCTTCCATCGAATGGTGTAGTAGCGGTTGTCCGTGATCTTCTGGTTCTTGGACAGCGAGCTGTCGGCCCACGTCACCTTGATGGTGTCGTGGCTCAGCACGGAGGCCTGAACACCCACGGGAGGCATCATGGGGGTGGGGTCTGGCACTGGGGTGTATGGAGCATGGAAGATTTCATACAAGTCAACATCGGGGTCTATGGGGTCTGCGTGACAAGGTAGTAACCGCATGCATTGCACACAAAATTAAAAATGACCAAAAATTACAACAGAAGCATGGCGGGGTGGACAAGGGAGTGGAATCAAACCAGGAAGTGCAGACGAGAAAGTAAGGTTAATAAGTTAAAAAATGAGGGTGGGTGGAAACGGGATGGGATATGGTCATGAATGAGCAAAGGTGGGATTGGGAAGGTTGAAAAGAAAGAGAGAAGATTCTATTAGAAAACAGACACTGACCTCTACAGTAAGAAGGAACTACACACTGGGCTGCTCTACAAACGCTACAACATGTGACGCTCGGTCTATAGTGACTGTGGCACTACAGACAGACAGGAAGAGTTTATCTATTCATCAGAGCAGACAAAAGTAAACTGAAAGCAGATGTTCATCATCTGAAATCCAACACTTCATGTACACGTCAATGTTTCGACCCGGTCGGCTCAGAGAGCTGCAACTCTGGAACATGTTTACATCGCTGAGCTTTTCACAACATTTTCAATGCAAAGCGGATGATCACAAAGATGGAGAGAGCACAGGGATGTTTTGTCCTTTTTGTAGGGAACATTGAGAAGGCACATTATGTCTTTGAAAACTGTAAACAGAAAAAAAATAATAAATAAATAAAAATCAGGCTTAAAGTACAGAACCTGCCAGCAGAGGACAGGAGGGTCAGGAACAGGTCTGTCTGTGTGTGTGTGTGTGTGTGTGTGTGTGTGTGTTTCTCCTCTGTAGCTCAAAGAACTTCTGTGCTCAAAAATCACTCTCCTTGGTTTCTAGAATCCATTTTCCCACGTTCAGTTAACAGTAAGGCAGTTTTGGATTGCAATTCTTAAAAGTCTCTCAGAAGCATACTGCAGTGATATTATATGGTACATGTTCATCTTTAAATCACTTCTTGGTCTGCTGCCTTCATACATCTCCTCCTACTGCGTGAGTGCAGCTACAGCGTGCGCTCTCAGGACATTATTACCTGCAGTGTCTCCTCAGTGAGGACTGAACTAGACAAAAGGGCCTTCTCCTACTCAGCTCCTGTTTCCTGGAATATCTTACAAAAAGATCTGAAGCTCTCGACCTTGACCTCTCTAAGGGATTTTAAACATCTGCTAAATTCATGGCAAAAACCAACGCAGACATGTTCCTGTTTTTAGTTTTCTACATTCGCCTTATAATGTAGCTGTTTTTTTTCTTCTTTTAATTATTATTATTTTTAAATTAAAATTTTTATATAAATTCTTCCATGTACTTTTCATTTTATACTCTTTTTTTATGATTGTCTACTGTTGTCATATGTGTTCTTTGTTAAAAACGCGTCTCTCTTGTAAATGAGTCATCGAGGCTCAATGAGACTAACCTGTATAAATAACGGTTGAATTGAAAATAATTAAATATGGATCCGTTTTACGCAGAATGATGTGCAGTACGGCTGAACAATTAATTGCATTTGCAATAATACTGCGATATGATAAAACGAGATTTTCTAATTACGAAGGCTGCAGTTTGACTGATCATGTGATCTGGTTACGTGACTTGCGAGTGAGCGGAGCAGAGCAGGGAGCAGGAGAAGTCAACACTGCGTTTAAACTGGTTGCCCAGTGGCGTCAGGCTCGACAGAAGCTGACACATCTGAAAGTTTGGTACCAAAGAGGAACAGCACGTCCGTTGTTTGGAATTATTTTGTCTATAAAAAAAGAAGACGCTGCACAGCGACATGTATTGTGCAGAACCTGCCTTGCTGCTGTTGCTACCTCTCGAGGTAACACCACAAATCTTTATCAACACTTAAAAAACCCCACCGCAAAGACGATAGTTGCATGGCTAGAATGCCAATGAACGTTCAACTTAAAGTAAGCAAAGTAGCAGCTGACAGGGATCACTGACAGAGCTGTTCGAAGGTTTTACTCCGTATGAACATCATTTGAAGCTGCACGTGGAAATAACTCGAACAATAACGGAGTTCATAGCAAAAGACATGATGCCCATTAATATAGTGACCAAGCCTGGTTTACAGTTTTGGTAAACACAATGGATAAGTGGTACAGAATGACCTCGAGCACACATTTTAACCAAGTTTCTATCCCGGTGCTATACAAACAATGAAGAGACAGAGTTGCAGCGGAGCTGAAAACTGAGTTTTTTTGCAACTGAAACAAAATTATTGCTTGTGTTTGTTGAAAAATATATGCGAAGACGTTGAAAAATAATCGCATATTAAATCACAATACTGAGGTAAAAAAAAAAAATCGCAATTAGAATATTTTCCTAAATCGTTCAGCCGTAATGTGCAGTAAAGAACAACAAATACACAAAACATATTTCCTTGACTTGCACACTTGCTGCCTTTAACGTTTCATACAGAATAAAGCAACGCTTGAAAAAAATGAAGAGTAAATGCTCAACCTGCCATGTAAACAAATCTGTTGAATTGTGGGGATGTTTCTTGGCTCGACGCCACGTCAGCCCTCAAACATAAAGACCTGGACTTGCTGCATCACTTGAATGAGCTGAACTCACTAATGTGTGCAGCTCGTCCTCCCTCTCACATCGCACCACTGTGTTGACATTAGAAAACAGCTGCTGTCGCCTTCCTCGCATTTAAGGCGGCTCATTTTTACTGTAGTTATGTATGTTCGTGTTTTTAGTTTTCTACATTTGCCTTGTAATCTAGCTGCTTTTGCTACTTTTTGCCATCTTTTATAACTGTCTGTTGTTGTCCATTGTTGTCATCACTCTGTTTAAAATCAGGTCTCTCTTGTAAATGAGCCCTCGAGGCTCAATGGGATTAAACTGTCTAAATAAAGGTTGAATGAATGCTCTGAATCCAAAATATTGTTTTAACATTTAACTACAGCAAAATAAACCACTGAAGGCAGCTGTCTTGCAAATGTACCTAAAAAGTACCAAAAATATTTATTTGCTAAGTAATTTGGTGAAACAAACAAAAAAAAAAAGGTTTAGTTTGATTTCATGTCAGACAGTAAGACAAATACAGCTATGCGACTTTTATACCGTGTATGTAAACATGTGGTTTTAACTGTAAGCTCTTGAATGAAGAACATTTGTGGCCTTTGGCCATTTCAGCTCTACGAAGCTAAACACGTGTTTATAAAGAGGAGGACGGCTCTAACAGGCAACTCCTGGTCAACGTACTACAGGACAGATGCTTGAAGATGAGCTTCTGGTTTCACTGCTCCTGTTCCTGTACTTGGTTTAGCTGATTGAAGGAAAAAGCTTTGCTTGGTCAGCTGTGATGACTCTCCTCCTCATCACTTGGTGCTCCCATACTCTCTGCCTCGCTCGATTTGACACCTCTCTGTACAGAGCTGCCCTCGTTATATTCCCATGGCTGAGTCTGTGCGCGTGCGTGTGTGTGCGTATGGGTGTGTGTAAGGTTCAGAAACTGAGGTTTTGAAATGGCATGCAGGCAGGAGTTCTCTATGCAGTTTGAAAGATTTCAGTCCTCAGCACTTACAGGGAAAAGACTACAGGAAAAAGGTGAAAAGCCTCAGTTCCTGCATTTCAGTCAGGACTTTATAACGTCATCGAGCTTTCACTCCCTCAGCCCAAGTTCACAAAGTTTTCCCAACTTCTCTTCTTCTTGAGTAAAAGTCCTATGTAGGTCAGCTCGTCTTTTACATTCTGACTTGAACAAACTGGCAGGAAGGGAACGCGCCCTCAAGGATTCGGCAGCAAACGATGGTGGTGGGCTTTGGTTCTGCTTTGAGAGCAAACGTTCGGATCTGACGAAGGGTTGCCAAAGCCACCACGGGGGGTCTGCGGGAGCGCACGGCGTGCGAGTGCATGAGGATGTGAGGAGGCTTTTCAGACAGAAGTGTACAGTGTGACAGTGTGTGGGCGTGTGCACATATTTAAGCTGCCACCTCTACCCCCCTCCCTCTCTCAAAGCATGTTGATGTGATTCATGTCACCAGGCATCCCACCCCTCTCACACTCAATGGTGCAACAGTGCTGCAGCAGAGACGAACTGCAGCGATCAAGGCTGAGCGGGGAGGCGGGCGCAGCCCACATCCTGGGACACTCCGGGGAGCACGGGCTGCTCGTCTTCTGTCACAGAGGCTGTAAGAAGTCAGCCAGCGTGCACACTAACTCATGCCGTTTTGCTCTCTGGAATCAACTGTCAAGCACTCCAGGCTGGGACTGACGTTCTGCTTTTAATTGTTAACAGACGTGATACGAGGCTCAACGATATTAGAGAAATATTAGAGACTAAAATGTGAAAAGAGGCTTTAGTTAGGATCTCACTGGGCTGTGACCCAGCTTGTCAACAGCCCATCGAGAGGGAGTCTCCAAGATGTCTTAAAACATTTGCGGGGCTGCTCAATTTCCTTGTGTGACTCAGGATGTCCAGGTCTCTGTCCAGCCTATCTTCATTTCTAAATTGTACCTTGATTGTACTTGATTGTAATGGTAAATTGCATTATTATTTCTAAATATGAGCGTTTCTGATGTCTTATTTTATATATGAATGTTTCTGTTCAGTGAGCTGAGACGACTTCTGTTGTGACTTGGCGCTATATAAATACACTGAACTGAACTGTACCATATTTTATATGTAAAGAAGTAGAAATAAAGTAGAAATAAAGAGTCTAAGTACAGAAGCTGTCAGGTGCTGCCAGCCAGGTGCACTTAATAAAATGATCATCACAGTTTTTTGGGGGGGCCAGACACTTCAGGTATGAAGAAAAGCATCAGCTAAAGTTGTAAAAATACTTCCCATTTACTTGAGAAGAGAAAAATACTTTTATTGATTTTTACAAACATCAAATGTTTGAATGCAAACAAATTTAAGAAGCTAAACTGATGTCAGATGCTGAATAATAGTAGGCTGACATTTTACAAAAAAAACAATACTTGACCTGACAAACATTTAGTCCTTTTCTACATAATTTACTTTTGCATAAAGCCATATTTATTACTTCAGTAATCCACTTCAACATCTCGAAGCTCATCTCCTGTATAGTCAGGGCGGCTACAGGGGCAAGATCTGAGGCTTCGATCATTTGATTAAAGAGAGACTTAAGTATACTTGGGTCCATGACGACGTAAGATAATTAAAGCGGTGAGACTGGCTGCTGACCCATTTTCTCCTCGGTAATTTAGAGTCGAGACACATTCTGTCTGATAATGATGTCAGGTTAGAGAGGGCAAAGATAATTGTCAGTCGAGGTGAGCGCAGCTACGCAGCGTGTGCTGCATCCCTTACATTGTGTGTGAGCAGAAGAAGAAACTAAATGTGGTTTTGTGGAGGAAATGTGCAGGAAAAAAAGATCTACAGAATCCAAACTATTTATTTATTTGTTTTTTCCTGACAGCAGCAGATTTGAGCGTACATGCAGGTGTGTGTAGCTCGTACCTGACTGTGGTCTGGTGATGGCGCTCTCATAAACAGGAATGCCTTCCCCCACATTGTTGAAGGCCTTCAGCGTGATCACGTAGTGGGAGCTGGGGTCTGTGAGAGAAACACAAATGAGGAGGGAGGATGAGATAAACTGATGCAGCCAGCTAATTGAGCTAAACTCTGGAGATTCCCAACTCATAACTGCAATATTAGCAGAGCAAATATTTGAATGCATCCATACATTAATACAAGTGAATGTGGTAAAAATTTGAATTATGCATACTGAATGTTTTTGCAACACTTCATCCCACAATCTGTTTCTTTTAGATGATTCTTTTTAACTCGCTTCTGGACCAATTCCCCAAGCTTTAACAGTGGCACATCAATTATCCTCTTACTGAAGCCAGAGACCATGACCAGCAGAAATCTGCACGTTTTGCTTTGCAGGAAGAGCAAACACAATCAAATTATCACTATAGTGGATGTTGAGTTTCAAAACTAAATTATACTCCCAAACAAACAAAAAAAAAAAGCACTAAAATTGCATTTAATTGACCAAAGTTGACTTATGGGCATTTAGGCAAAAAGAAGAGTTAACAAAGACTTTCAATAACTACAATAAATATTCACCATTTCTTTGACTTAATACAAAAACATAAAAAATGTCAGTGAGCAATAATGAATTATGTTTGTGCTCAGTCTGTGAGTGTGTGTGCATTTGTGCGTCATGTTAACAAAATATCTGTCAGCGAATTTTGGTCAAAGTTTATGGATGTTTTTAACTACGATGGCTGAGGATGTTAACTGCCCATGAACCATGTGTTTGAGTTAGCAGAGAGTTCTTTTCTCTCTCAGAGAGAGCTGAACGAGGAGCTGATTTGTTTCTGCATGTGCAGCTGGCTGGCCAAGGACACTGGTCTGTCTGTGATTTGAGAGCTGACAATAAAAACAATTCTCGCACACTGCCCGTGGCAGATTCTTGTGACTGGGCTCCATGAATGTAGAACATGTTTTGTGTCAGAATTCAATTCTAACTTTGAAACTTATCCAACATTAATAAAACTTACCTCAGATTGTCTTTTTGGACATGTATGCATATATCTGTACAAACTGTACTTGAGAAGAGATTATTACAGCCTCATGTAAAATCAATAATGATGATGATATCGGAGTGGTATCAGTCAATATCTAGATTTAGGTATTGGGATCGGCTCGGAAGTAAAAAAAATGTGGATGGGTGCATCCCTAGTGCCAACAAGGAGAAATTCTCTTTTCTTGGAATTCAGCTTAAGCAAGTTTTTATTAAAACGTAATTTAATTTCACAGAGGCAGTCTGAAAGGAAGGATGGTGGAAGGGTGGTTTTGACTTGGTGGAGAAGTAGAGCTGGGTGTCATCCGCATAGCAGTGAAAATGAATACCAATTATTTTTTAAAGATAAGCCAAGTGGAAGAAGATAAATGATAAACAGGAGAGGATCAAGAACAGAACCCTGCGGTACACCTGAACTAACTGGGGAGGACTGTGATTTGAAGTTTTTAAGTTGGACAAAGTGCTGACGGTCAGAGAGATAAGATTGAAACCAATTCATAACAATGCCAGAAAAACCAATGGAACGTAATCTATCAAGAAGAATATCATGCAAAATGGTATCACTGCTGCACTCAGGTCAAAGACTATGAGAACTGATAAAAGTCCAGAGTCGGCAGCAACCAGGAAATCATAGGTGATTTTAATCAAAGCTGTCTCGGCGCTGTGGAGGGGGCGAAAACCCAACTGAAGTTCTTCAAAACAGATTATTAATAATCTCAATGGATTTCTTTCCTGGTAAAATAAAAAAAAATTTAAAAAAAAAAGCACATCCACAAATTTCCTTTCAAGATTGCCACCACAGCTAAATGACCTTAGCAAACACATAAAAGGCTACGACTTAGTTAATTTTACTAATGCTGAGCTAAAATTTGGTGTGGTAGCAGCTGAGAGTCATCCATGACATTTATTTTGAGAGTTAACATATCTTGTGGTTCTTTCTGATATTGTCCTTTACAAGGTTGGACCAAAAACATCACTAACTCCATCTCTTCTCATCACAAGAAGATCTTAGATTAAAACTCTGGCAATATGCATTCCTTCAAGGAACGCCAGGCCTTTAATTTCATCTGAAATGTGTGACCTTTAGCAGTTGCGTTCCTGTTAGTACAATCTGTGTAATTAGTGGCTCAGTCTCGTGGTGAGGACCTAATTAATTCCTTCCTCACTCACTATGGGGGTAGCAGTGAACAGTTTCATAGTGTTTGTCTGTGTGTCTTCGCTCATTAGTAATTAAACTAAGCACATCAAATCAGATGTGACACATTTATCTTTTCCTGAAAGTAAATTGTTCTAAGTAACCACATTCAGTGTAGTGCAAAGAGTCCCACAAGGCACATTAATATCTGATTAGTAGTATCTGACAGAGCAGCCGACATCCAGAAATGAAATGATGACAAATAGATACATAATTTATTTCTCAGTAACAACAAAACACGAGCTGCCTGAGCCAAATAAGACAGCAACTAAATAATAAACATGCTCCGGGGCGGAAGACGGAAAGATTGTTCATACCGAGGTTCTCGATCGTGTAGTAGCGCTGTTTGTAGTCCACTTTGATGGTCTGAGCGTGGGGACTCCCGATGCCGTAGCTGATGGTGTAACCGCGCACCACGATGTCCTGGTTCTCTGGTGGCGTCCAGCTCACCACGATGCTGTTGACCAGCGGTCGAACGTGCAGCGAGCTGGGCTGGTCCGGCACATGGGACTCTGCGGGGGGACACAGAAAATGTTCAGCAAGGGTTGACTGGTTCAAGGTCAAGTCAAGGTCAAGTTTCTTTATTGTCATTCGCATTGCATGTGGTACATGTGGTGAAACGAAACTGTGTACACAGGGTCCCAGTTACATCCAACAAAAGTATTAAAATGTAAAGAAAAACAGTGATAAAATCTAAGATATGAACTAAGAAAAACACTAAACTAAGAATACGCTTAACACGTAACAGTACAAAAACAATACGCCGAACAACAGCAGCACGAACATGAGTCTGTGCGAGCAGGTGAGTACGAATGAACACAGCAGCATGAAATAAATCAGCAGCGTGAGATCAGCAGCATGGATAATCAGCAGCACATAGCAACAATCAAAGTGGTATTACAGTGATTTACAGTGATACAGTGGTTCTGGTTCAACATAGTATCTCATTGGTGGTGACCAACTAGTGAATGGCTTTCATGAGGGAGTCTCCAAAATGTCTCAAAACAATTGCGGGGGTTCTCAATTTCAGGCGATGAGCAATGAGGGGTTCAGTGTCTTGCCCATGGACACTTCAGCATGTGACTGTTGGTGGAGTCGAACTCCCAACTTTCGCATTGGAAGACAACTGCTCTAACCGCTCAGTAACTCAGTAGCTGCCCAATAACAAGCAAACAGTGCACACAAGAATAAGCTGTGGTTAAAAATAAATAAAAATGGTTGTCTAAAATGCTTGACTTGCTGGTAACATACACTTGGAATTCAATTAGACTGAAACAAAAAAAAAGTGCTTATTTTGTCACAATTTCATCATAATTCAGAGCCACCAACTGCACCAATGTTCAGTCAGGTCATCTGGACAATTTCTCCTTTGCTGAGACGTTTCGTCCTTCATCCAAAGGACTTCTTCAGTCCGAGGAGCCACAAACAAACTGGAGTCCCACAAGCACCAACTCTCCTTGTGGGGAAAACAAACAGGTTGCTGGTGATAAGATGGTTTCTTGGTTTGTGGCTCCGCAGACTGAAGAAGTCCTTTGGATGAAGGACGAAACGTCTCAGCAAAACAAGAAACCGTCAAGATGACCTGACTGAACATTGTTGCATCTGTACCTGGATTATTGAGTATGGACTTCGGAGCCACCAACTGGTCTCCAACAGCTGCAATCTAGCGACAAAAATACCTTTAGTTTGTATTAAATTAAAAACAAAAGGGTTACCATCCAGATCGCTCTCGAACGTCTCAGTTGTGGTCCACTCGGTGGCCGGTCCCGTGCCGTTCACCGTCAGGGCCGTCACCTTGAACGAGTACTCCGTTCCAGGATCGAGACCTGGACACACAAAACACAGATTCAGTAAAGTTTTATTAAAAAACTAAACAAAATCTTAGGTCTGTTTCTATTCCATAACCCAGTGATGCTCTCCACTCGGTTCAGAGTTTTAGTTTTGGAGGCACAATAAATATTCTTAAACCAATTCCAAACACCTCCAAAGAGCTTCAAGAGAAAATCTTTAAGCTCGCCTCAGGACGGATCAAATGAATCTTCTGAGGTGCAGTTAATGTTCTTTTCCACGCACCATTCTGGGAACGCTCGAGATGAATTTTTGAACTTGTATTAAAACTTGAGTGTTTCTTTAAGCAAACGGTGCTAAGAAAAGACACACAATCAAACCATCTGATTGATGGATAATCGGACAAAAAGTAACATAGTTAAAGACTAGAAAGAATAAAATGATTGATTCATTCATATTTTAAAGCCTCCCTTTGAGAGCGCTGCATCGCAGCTGGGTGCTGACTTTGGTATTCATCGAGTAGGGGGTGGGGGGTTGCTGACAAATGACGCATTTCTGTATTAATTTGCAATAAAAATTTCCGTTGTCATCATATTCTGCCACTTGCACACTAATCCTGCAGTGATTTCTCTGCACCCACTGTTCTGCTCCACCCTTGGGGAAAGCGGGGGGGGGGGGGGGGGGGGGGCTTTCAAAGACTTCCTAACCACCCAAGCCTCCAAGGCAACAACACATCCCTCTTAATGCTTTTGAACCAACAAACACCCCTCCACTTCACCCCCCAGGAAGATCTCCAAAATCAACTTTTAAGTGTAAATTCTCTTTGATGCTGCTCACAGCGTGAGGCCGGGCCACTTGCAAGTTACTGAGACAACATGTAATATTAATAATCACCACTGCTGGGACTGTCTGCTGATATCATCGTGCTTATTCTGGTGGTAGCAGCGTGTCGTCCTAATACGGTAAAGCGTGTAACTCTGTTTCAAAGCATTTAGCTGAAACGCAGACTCACAACCAGGCTGACTACAAACAACTCACGCCATAAATCTCAAAATCAAGATTTTATATTTTGCAGCACTTTGGACAGGACGCACTCTAAGATACGTTCAGCAGAGATAAAATAGTCTGAAAGTATAAAAGACTCATTGCTGAACCCATCTAAAGGGAACAGAATGATCCCTTAGAACAGTAAAGTTTTTTGGGGGGGTTTTGTCTGGATTCACCATTTTAATGAAACTGAAAGATGTCTATGAAACGAGGACAAACTGACGGGAGCTGGAAGCCATCCAGGGGATTAAATGTCAAAACTGCTAAAAACACTTCGGAGTCATGGGCACAAATCAATTAGAGTTTATCACGGTTTTTTTTTTGTCCCTGCTCACACTTATCAACAACACCATCTTTGATCTCAGTGACAGCTCTAAAGACAAGTGAGAACACAAGCTGGGACGTTTTGAGGACGCCGTCAATATTTGTTATGTGTAACTGCCAGTTTTCACGTTTTAGGTAATTGTACGCCAAATAAGTACCATATTTTCCAGACTATAAAGCCCTGTTCGCACGGGATTAGTTTTACCTAAGTGCTGGAGAAGATTCTCAGTCATCCAGGACATGATGAATTCAAAAAACGTTCAATACAAAAACAACTGGACTTTATTTGTAACAGAAGACGTTTCGCTCCTCATCCGAGGGGCTTTCTCAATTCAAAGAGCAGCGAGTGAGAGATTCAGGTAATAAGGCTGAGTGAGATAAGACACACACATATATGTAGATTGGCAGTTCACACCTAAACACCTTAACAGTAAGTCTTTGTTCCTCTAATTCACAGATGAGGCCCCTCTGTTCCCATCAGGTGTGGAAAACCGGCTGGGAATCTGTCTTAAAGTTGCAATTTTAGGTTTTTGAAAGTGGAAATCTGAGTCCTCCTCTGTTAAGAGATGGCTTTTCGCTTTTTACATAAATTGCTTCCTTCACCCCCCTCTCAAACCATCTGTGTTCTTGGTCCAAAATGTGCACATTTTGGTCCTTAAAAGAGTGTCCCTTATCTGTGAGGTGGAGGTGAACAGCTGAATCTTGTCCAGAGGAGGTGGCTCTCTTGTGTTGAGTCATGCGTCTGTGAAGAGGCTGTTTAGTATCTCTAGTGTAGAGGTCTGGACAGTCCTCGCTGCACTGGACCGCATACACTACACCACTCTGTTTGTGTATGGGTGTCTTGTCCTTATGGTGGACCAGCCTCTGTCTCAGAGTCCTGCTGGGTTTGAAATGTACTGGAATCTTGTGTTTGTTGAAAATCCTTCTGAATTTCTCTGATACTCCAGCAACATAAGGGATGACGATGTTTTTCCGTCTGTTGTTCTCCTTTTTCTGTTTATTGGTGTGTTTTGTAGATTTCCTCGCTGACTTGACAAAAGCCCAGTTAGGATATCCACATGTTTGAAGAGCTTCTTGAATGTGTTTCTGTTCCTTTCCCTTTGCTTCTGTCTTCGTGGGGACGCGTTCGGCCCGATGTTGTAAAGTTCTGATGACAGAGAGTTTGTGTTCCAGTGGATGGTGGGAGTCAAACAGAAGATACTGGTCTGTGTGGGTTGGTTTTCTGTAAACTTCAATGTTGAGGCTGTCCTCTCTCTCCATCTGAACCAAACAGTCCTGCCTTTTTTGGACTGTTTGCACTTTGACGGTCAAATCAGCTGCATTTCAAAACCAGATTTGTGTAAGCGAGCACGCACAGATGGACGAGCCGCTGTTCATTTCTTCGAAATTTAACAAGAAATAAAACTAAAAACAATTAGTTGTTTGCTCAAATTTATAGTAAAGGTGTGTCTCAGTCTAACGTTTGCTTAAAAAAATGACTTAAACGATCAAATCAGCTGTATTTCAAAAGTATTTGCTGCCTCGTTGCTCCGGAAGAGCGCAGACAGGGAGGAAAAAAGGAAGGAGGAACGCTGCTCGTTTCTTCGAATTTTAACAAGAAAAGCACCTAAAACAATTCATTGTTTTCTCTAAATTATAGTAAAGGTGTGTCTCAGTTGAACTTTTACTTAATAAATGCACTTCAATGGTCAAATTAGCTGCATTTCGCCAGGGCGGTGAAGCAAAATGAAGCTGATTTGACAGTTGATCCAAGCAGCGAGCAGAAAGAAGGTGGGGAGACTAAGGCAAGCCGATTGTGTCACTAATAGCTGGTGAAGTTCTCAGTCATCCAGGACATGGTAAATAAAAAAAAAAATAAAGACAAAACAGTAAAGTATAATAAAGTCCAGTTGTTTTTGTCTTGAACTTTTTTGAATTTGTCATTATAGCCACTTTTACCTATTAGATGATACAATGTCATGCCTTACTGCTACTACAACCCTGCTGCCATCTGGTGGCTGAAAATGGTACTGTTCATTTTTTTTTTTCCAGTCAGAATGAATGAAAATGGTCATATCTCAGCCAAAAATTGGTTAAATATGGGAAAAAAATCCATAAATAAGTCGCTTCGGCCTATAAGTTGCAGGGCGTGTAAATTATGCAAAAAAACTGTGACTTATAGGCCGAAAAATACAGTAATCAGTTCAACACCAGCTTGTCTAGCTCTTAACATTACTTAACATTAGTGAAGGCATTTGTCTTCAATTAAAAAAAGGAAAATAAATCATACATTTAAATTTCTGTTTTAACACCATAAAGCTGCAGTATTGTTACTCAAAATCTTAGATAAGCCCATGCCTATTATACACATTGCCACATTCCTAATGACTTAAATGAGCATATTATTTAAAAATGTGGTTTTGCTTAGATAAATCCTTATTTTACAGTCTCTTGTTTTGTCTGGACTTTGAGCTAGCTTAGCACAACCTAATGATACAGCAACTTTGTGTAGCATCATGATCCAGTTTTCCACTGTAACTACACCCGTTGCTTTATCACGTTGGACAAAACGTCAAACTTTTTGAAGTTTTCAGTTTATACAAATGAACTAAAGCCCTCTGAGAAAGTCAAATATGACCAGCAAAGTTTCTTTTGAACTGGATGCAAAGCTATACTTCTGTTACTTATGTCCTCCAGCTGTGATCAACAGACCATGCAGCCACTCACAGATGTTCTACCAGAAAGTCTAAGAAACAACAACGCTGGTCTCGTAATATCACCAACAGTTAGGAGGAGAGAACAGGTTCGACTGTGCTCAGACGATCATGGCTGAAGTAATGACAGAATCATTACCGTCAATGAGCTTGTACAGCTGAGCGCCTGCAGTGGTGACAGCTGATTCACTCCTCCGGGATCCTTTCCGGTAACGGATCTTGTAGCTGATGATCTCCCCGTTCTGCCCGCCGAGGGGTGGGGGTTGCCACCGAAGTATGATGCTCTGAGGGGAAAACAAAGGATATTACATTTAGCACATTTGGGCCTGCAGTTGTTAAGGTGACCTCACAGTTTAGCAGGTATCACATTCCCACAAAGCCCAGTGGCAAAGGCCTTTGTAGTTACAGTCTGCGAGTTCCCTCTGTCTCTCTTGTACAAACTCGTCCTCCTGACGGTGGTGCAAACAGGAAGGCATCAGAAAATTAAACACCCCTTTGAGCACGAGCGCATACTGATGCATTACGAGGAAATAACCATGGATAATAAAAGGAGGTGTCCTGATGCACGATGTTTCCTGATGTCTGAGTGATTCAGCCAGGCCTGCAGAGAAGTCGGAGAGATGAATTTGGGGCTTTTGCTGGCAGGCTGCAGTGCTGCGGGATAGAGGCGTCTGAATATCTGTGTGTTTAAAGAGCTAGGTGGGGGGCGGCTCAGCATGAGAGAACAGTTAATTAACGCTTCCTCACCGTCACACAGATGCACACAGAGCCTGAGTACATGTTCGGGGCTCACGCAAGCTCCTCCCCTGCCGAGACGAGGGAATTGCGAAAATTAAAACTGGGTTAAGTGTGTTCAATTATTTTCTTTTTTCTCATTACGCTGCAGGCACAGACGTGGAGTGTGTTACTTTTCTCTCGTCTTCTCCCTAATCAGAGAATAAATAAATAAATAAACTGTTTAATTGTGTGGATGCTTATGAACCATTCAAACTACTGTGATCCATTTTTCTTCCATAGGTTTTTTGGCACGATTCTCATCCTGCAGTTTTCTAAATATTTCAACAAATCATAAATCAAAACGTTCAGCTTGTTCAGGACAATCCTGTTTTGACTTTGGTATTGGTGCAACTTTAGCTTTTTGAAATATTTAGCCTTTTCTGCCATTTTTCCCTCATAGAAAATGAATTGAGCTCATTTGACATCTTTCATATCTTTAGATGTGTTTACAACCTTTTGCTGCTCCTTTCACATTTTGTTCTGGTTCAGCTTCTTTCAGCTTCCTTGTGCAACTTTAAACTTTTTTTCAGCAAGTTTCAGCTAATTTCAGCTGTTTTTTCAATTGTTTGCACTCATTTCAGCTTCTTTCTGCTAACTACAACATTTTTGTGCTTCTTCTAACTTCTTTCTGCTAATTTATGCTTTTTATGCCCCTTTCAGCTGATTTCTGCACATTTCTGTTATTTCAACTCCTATTTAGCTGTTCTTATGCTAATTTTAGCTTTTTCAGCTAATTCCACATTTTTTTCACTCATTTAAACTTTTTTCAGCCTAATTCAGAAAAAAATGTGTTCTCTCCACTTTCTTCTCTTAAGCTTCTTTCTGACTTTTTAGCTACTTTTCAGGTGTATTCACTCATTGAAGCTTTTTTCAGATAATTTTCACCTTTTTGTGCTCATTTCTGCGTCTTTAAGCCTAATTGGGCAAACATGTTATTTCTGCTTTCTTCTGCTAATAAAAGCTTGTTCAAATTTTTCAGCTAGCTTTTTAGCATTTTCTAGATAATTTCAGCTGTTTTCAGAAAAAAATTAAAGTTTTTTGTAGTAATTTCTGCTACTTTCAGCCTAATTAACTGCTTTCTGCTAATTTAATCTTGCTATGCTATTCAGCTTTTTCTGCTAGTTTAAGCTTTTTCTTATTTTTCAGCCACTATTTAGTTGTTTTTAACGCAAATTTTTAGCTTTTTCAGCAAAACCAAATGTTTTAGCTCATTTAAACTCTTTCCACTTCTTTCTGGCAGTTTAAGCTTCTTTCTGCCTTTTCAGTTATTTTTTTTTCCGCTAATTTCAGCTTTTTTAAGCTAATTTCTTAATTTTTATGTTCACTGCTGGTTATTTAATCATATTTCAGCAAATATGTGTTCTTTCTACTTTCCTCTGATAATTAAGGCTTGTTCTTACATTTCAGGATCTTTTTAGCTAATTCCAGCTGTTTTTCGTCATGTTCTTCTGCAATAAGCATTCACACAGCATTTTCACAGGAACTATAATTCCTCTAGTTGACTTTGTGAAGTCACACGGTGGGAAGGTGTGAAAAGAAGATGCCAAAAGGGGAGAAAAAGGTGAGTTAGATCAAACGTGTGACTTTCAGGTCTCAGGTAAATGATGAAAGGTGATGAGACCTTAAGAGATGGAAAATAAAATAAAACTTGCCTTAATTGTATTTTTTTCCTTCTAATTTACATTTGGCTGCACATATTCAGCAGCTAATTGAATATATCATTTGTAAATGTCTCCTGAATCACTTTAACAGCTAGAACAAAACATACTGTCCACATATAAAAAAATAATAATAATTAATTAAAAATCCTCCATAATGTCAAGCGTTGGTGTGTTAAATTAGCTTCGGTGGATTTTAATGAACCATTCAGAGAACAATCCCTGTCCTTCCCCCCGTGTTCACCCTCTTCATTCCTCTTTTAAAACCAGCAGAGTGTTTTCGCCCCACAAATCTCACACGAGCGTCCCTCAGCAGGGTGCTGGGTCCGTCCTCGAGCTGAGAGGCTGTGATAGGATTGTCTGTCAGTTTCTTCCCCTCGCTTGAGCTTCGCATCGACCAGCGACGGGGCTAAAAGTGCCGGCTGCTGTTTGTGAAGTCGATCCGCGCACCCTGAGGTTTCCCACCCCCTCCTCCCGCTCCGCCATCATCTTTTTTCGCAGCTTTCTTTTCGCGCTCGCTGCCTCTCGTGTCAGGACTGAGAAACATCTTTTGTCAAATTTAATCCATCACTCTTGTGGAGACGCACAATAAACGGGCCCGCAGCCTTCTGTTTGAACATCAAACGGCTAAAACGATGGGAGGCAGAGGCTCGCCCTCCGCTTTAATCACGAGCCTGCTGTGAGGCCAGCGGCCACCTCGGCGGCCATGTCTAATCAGGAGTTTCACACAAGAACTACAGTGCGTTGAAGTAAATAAATATGTCCTCACAACTAAGCTTAAAAAGACGCCGAGACGCACTGATCTCATGTCCGACCCAGAAAATCTTCGGACGCTGTTGATGTGAAACCGAACCGCTTTCAACGAGGTCACAAGCAGGCGTCGATGTGACGACTTCTAAAGTGTTTCAGACGTCTGTGTCAAACGGGCTCATTTCAGTGAAAAGTACAGACTCTTAGTTTAGATTAGATGTGTCGACGTGCACCATCTACCAGAGCATCATTTGTGAAGTGCCTGCATCAGTTTGTATCTGAGCTGGAGGTCTCCAAGTCTGATTTTGATACAAGATAAAACCCTCTGACAAGCCGGTCTCCAGCCGATGTGACGATCGATGCTTCAGGCCTCTGATGCAGCTAATCACACAGCAAAGAAGGGCGCTGTGGCCTGCAGGCTACAAATCTGCTAAAGTCTTCGTGTGTTTACTGCAGCACAACCTGCACACACTGCAGCTCCGTTAGCAGGCTCAGTTATGTTGCATTTGAAAGTGCAAGTGCAACAAATGCCAAAAACGTTAACTCTGGACCAAAACAGTGAATCTTACCTTTGAGTTCTGGACCTCCAGAGTGAGGTTTTGAGGAGGGGCGCTAGGAACTGTGGAGAAAAAAGATCATTTATGAAATGTAAATCAAATCACATTTAAAATGTATACCCAAACATAAAATCCTTATGAAGCGTAGCATTTCTTAGAAGAAGGTTTATTCCCTGCCGTCTTTTATGTCATCTTTAGATTAGGATTATCTTAAACTGAGGAATGATAGAGTTGTAGCTGTTTTGATCAAATCTTTAAAATAGAGCTCAGCAGTGTTGCACTCAGTGTATTGATGTGAATAACTACAGGCTACTACCACATCAAATTGTAGCTCAATATCTGCTAAACTGACTGAGTTATAAACTTGTTTGTGTTGGATACTGTGGATAAGCTGCAGAGGACAACTTGAACTGCACTGACTCCAAAAGTTAATCAGTTGTAAATGTACATCCAATGATTACATTCTGAACAGTTTATTAAAATCAGATCAGCGGTTCATGAGATATTTTGCTAACAGACAAACAAGGTCAACACCAACAATGAATGCATGTTGTAAGCAATATGTTGTGCACTGAGGAGGATTTGGAGTGCATGTTAAGGACTCTCAGCTACTACCACTTCAAATTGTAGCCCAAGATCTGGAGATTTGACAGAGTTGACTATTTCCTGTACGTTTTATTAAAATCCATCCTGTGATTAATATTTTGCTAACAGAAAGACAAGAGATATGAACACATGCTCACATAGACAGTCAAAATTATTACCGCCCACCTATTGCCGTTTGAAGGTTAATGATAAAAATTGCAGATTTTTTTCCATTTTTATAGATTATGTTATTTGTTGCTTTTGTTTTTCTTAAATTAACTGCAAAGTTATGCTTTGGATTAAACAAGGATAATGTCAGAATAACACTGAGCCCTGTGAAAATACTGATTAGGCATTTTATTATTTTTATCAATAAAACCTAAATTTTATTGATTACTTTATAGATAATTTTCAAAATGAGAAAAAAAACATCATGGGAACAATAAATAAAAATCCTAGTCACCCTAAATATTAGTCAATCTGCTGCAAAATTACTGCTTTTTGTTAGATGATGATAATTCATCCAGCTACCATAAAGGGTGTCAAAACATGCAATATGTCAATGTTTTTTATTTGAATTCTTCTAAAAGTCTATGATTAAAAAAATAACTGAACACGCATCATTTGCTACCAAAAGTTTTCCATAAAATTTATAAAACATGAACAAAACCAGCAGAATCATGTTTTGTTGCCAACAATTATGAGTCCTTTGTTTACATTTGAGCATTGACGAGTACACTTGGAACAGTCTCGGCGAGTGACAGATATATAAGAGGAATAATCCTCGGACGTTAACAGAGTCAGAGAACGATGGGATCAGAGACAAGGCAGGAAGAAAAAAGCTAAAGCTTACTGTCCTTCTGAAAAGAAACGGCGACTAATGGCTTTAAGGACGAGAGAGTGGACAGAAGTAGAGAGATTTTTAATCAAGTGGTGGAAAACGTTCAAGCAAAAGTTGCTTTTTATTGAACTCTGTATATTACAGGTCATTCAGGATCATCCTGATGGGACAGAGATTCTAATCCTTTTATGTCCAAATCCATTGATCAGTGTGTAGATCAGCGACAATATAAATGATAAGAGTGGAGGAATTGTGGTGCAAAAGCACATTGAGTGATTGGGACGAGAACGTTTGTGTATCAGTGCACTCCACTAACAAGTTATAGGATATGGCATTAAGAGGTGTCAATAAAGAAGAGTTGTTTTGAAAGATTTACATTTCTTCCATCAACTGACCGTCTGAGAGCGTGCGAACAATCACATCCTCCGTGGAGACTCCAGGACCGTGCTTGTTGTTGGCCACGACACGGAAGCTGTACTCCGTGTTCTTCTTCAGGCCCGTCATCGTGTAGGACTGAGCATCTGTGTCCACGTCCTGGAAATAAAATTATTCAATAAATGTTTGTTTGTTTTGTAAACTAAGACTGGTAAAACTGTTAGAGGTTTAAGATACAAGTTGGTACAGTGAGGTTCTCTTAGCAACGTGGTCCTGTTAGCACCATGGTGCTGTTAGCACCACGGTGCTGTTAGTAGTTTGGTTCTGTTAGCTGTGAGGTTCTCTTAGCAACATGGTCCCATTAGCAGTGAGGCTGTTTTAGCAGCATAGTCCTGTTAGCAGCGTGGTTCTGTGAGCAGTGAGGTTCTTTTAGCAGCATGATACTGTTAGAAGCATGTTTTTTTTTTAGCAACATGGTCCCATTAGCACCGTGGTACTGTTAGCAGAGAGGTTCTGTTAGCAACATGGTCCCGTTAGTGCTATGGTACTATTAGCAGTGTGGTTCTGTGGTTCCGTTAGCAGCGTGGTTCTGTTAGCATTAACAGTGTGGTTCAGTTAGCAACATGGTACTGTTAGCAGAGAGGTTCTCTTAGCAACATGGTAATGTTAGCAGTGTGGTTAGCAGCATGGTTCTTTTAGCAGTGTGGTTCTTTTAGCAGTGTGGTTCTTTTAGCACCATGGTAATGTTAGCAGTGTGGT